ATTCTCACTCATCCTTTAAGATGCAGAGTAAATGGTTCCTCCTCCAGGAAGCACTCCCTCCTGCTACACCCCCGCCCCTTCCCTTCTCACATGGCTCTCATAGCCCCCTCCTAGACTCTGCTGAGACACCCTGCAGTGGGGCCCTTGGGTGTGATGCCTTAGGAGACTGATACTGGGTTCAAATCCCAACTGTGCCACTTGCAAGTGGCCTTGGGCAATTGATCGGACCTTTCCATAACTCAGTTTACTCACCTGTAAACTGGGGGAGATGATTGTAAAACCAGCCTGCCTCTTAGGCTTATTACAAAAATTAGATGACTTAGGGTGTAAACTCATCAAAGAGGCATGAAAGGCAAAGTGCAGGACATGAAGACCTCACTTTTGATCTTGATTCAAAGAAACCATCGCTTTTTTTTTTAAAGCTTTGAGATAACCAGTCAAGTCTGAATAGGGACTGAGCATGCACTGTAGAGAAAATGACAAAATTGTAACTGATTTTATGGATGTGAGAATGGGGTTGCTTCTTTAAAAAAAAAAAACTTCTCTGTACTTTAGAGACACTCTGCGAAGAATTTTAGGTAAGATCACATGATGTCTGAGATTGCTCTGAAATCCTCAAGAATGAAAAATTACGTGGGTTGGTGGGAACAGAAGAGGAAACAAGATTGACAGGAGTTGATAATTATTGAAGCAGGAATAAGTAGGTGAGGTTCATTATATTATCCTCCCAAATTTGTGAGTATTTGAGCACACCTCTAACACAGAATGAACACGTTTTAAATGTGATTATATACAGTGCTGGCATAAATGCCTGCCACTTGCTCTGAGCTCCACGTCAGCGTTTCTTAATAGCATGGTCACTCTGTAACAGAAGTTAGAGGACAGCTTCTATAAAAGATCGGGTAGTAAATATTCTCAGCTTTGTGGCCTACAAGCTCTCTGTGGAATATTCTTCTGTTTGTTTGTTTGTTTTTGGTTGTTTTACAACCTTTTTAAAAGCGTAGCACGCACTCTTGGCCCTTACACAAGTGCTGCGAGCTCGACGTGCCCGTGGGCTGGTGTCTGGTCCTTGCTTTGTAACACAGTCGCCTTCTTATAGCCCTGTCTCCTCAGGAGGCTGGGCGCCCCCCGAGGCTTTGCACTGGGAACTTTGTAAGACACTTCGTGTATGTTTGATGAATGAATCAATGCACGAGGGCTCATCATCTGGAAAGAAACCTGGCTTCCTGCCCCGTCTACCCTCCGTAGAAAGTCAACTTCCCCAGCCAGAAGCTCACAAGACTGCATGTTTATAAAACCAATTAGCAGAAAATCTCCACAAACCTTCCACATCCCATGACACGCAGCCCGGCCAGCGCTGAGTCAGCTGCCAGGCCTTCAGTTCCCTGGAGATCCCGCCGGAGATCGGAGCGTGGCAGGCCCCGGGCAGGGCCAGGGCCTCCGAGCACTCAGGCCAGGCGACCTCAGGGGTTTGAAGCTAAGAGCGCTCCCAGACGGCGGCCCCACCGGCAGGGCATTCCCACCAGGGTCCCAGGAACAGATCCCCAGGGGTACACGCCTCAGGTAGCGTCCACCAAGTCGCACTGTGGCTACCTGTGAGTTACACCAGAAATGTGAGAACGAAGCATGGGGAAGGGTGGGCTACAGGGCACCCCCAGCTCTGGGCCCAGGCCCGTGTCCGCTGGGCCTCTCTTTTCAGTAAAGGCCTGAACAGAACCTGTTTCCAGGCAGGGGAGCTCTTTCCTAAAACCCCCAAGGCTCGGCTGGACCGGCTCAGACCATTTCTGTCTCAACCCTGCCCTCTGGTGGAGCATCTGGGTGCGGCCATCCAAACCCAGGCAGGCTGTGCTCTCAGGACACCCTTTCTGTTCACTGAGCGTTGCCCAGGGTCTGCCAGGAGCAGTGCTGAGCCTCCATGAGACGAGAGCTGAGAGGTGAGCAGACGGAACCAGGCAGAAGCCTGAACGGGCCCTGGGCACCCGGCCCGGGACCCATCAGGGTACCACCTCCACCTTCCCATCTTCCCCGTAAACACAGTGGTGTCTGCAGGGAGTCTACTTGCAGAAGCACATCATAAAAAGAGACTTTTATGTGAACAATGGCAATTTGGAAGGGTCCAAGGCTGTCCTTGACTCTCTCTGGCCTTCCCCCCACTTTCTCCTCGCTTTATGGTTTTCTTTTTTCACTCATAGCTTCTGCTGTGAGAAAAAACGATGTAGGCACCCCATGGCAGTGGGTTTGCAATGGCCCCCATACCAAGGCCAAGGACAGGTGGACAAGTCATGCCATCTTGGGCATTCAAGGTGGCTGATGTCATGTGTGGGTGTGCAGTCACTTTCCTGGGTTGTGGATGTTTGACAAGGCAGCCGGAACTCCAAGGGTCGTGCACCAATCCCAGGGGTCCTTATCCCTGCGATCTGAAGGTCTTCCCGCCCTACAAGGACCTTCTCCCGGGATGAAGGTCTGGGAAGTTTCCCACCACTAGATGGCGCCAATGGCAAGGGCTTGGCTCAGCCGAACCAGAGCCCATCCCTCCAGGGCCCCGGGGGTGCCATCACCTACTTTCCTTGTCCAAGGGGGCCTTCTCTGAGCTTCCCTTGAGGAGCTGCGTGCCTTGGGGCTCAGGTATGTACTTGGGAAGGAGGCTTCCCTCTGGGGAGCTTTAACTTGGTGCGGAGACAGCAGAGTGGATAGTATCCATGTGGAGATGGGAACCTGCCAGATGACAGCCCATCCCAGCTGCACCACAGGCCTCATTCCAGGTCCACAGAGAGAAGTAAAGTTCACATTTTAATAGGGGCGGCAGCACCTGTAACACAACCTGGGAAAGGCATGGAAGGCTTCCTGGAGGAGAGGGCTTTTTTTTATGTCCTCTGCCAACAGTAGGTCCTGACGGTCTAGGGACTGTCAGAGATGGTCTGGAGGACTCCTAAAGCTCTGGGCCTCCACTGTCCCAGATGACAAGGAAAAGGCTCTCTCCATGAGGCCAGAAAGAAGAGAGAGAGTGTGTGTGTGTGTGTGTCGTTGGTTTCATTGATTTGGAGGGTTTTGGGGTTTTGTCATGTCCTGTTGTGTTTTTCGAGGAAAAGCAAATAAGGGCCCGCAAACCAAATGCTTTCCAGGTGAACACAGACTAGCACTTGCCACCCTCCTGAATAATTTGTTCGCTGCCAGCAAATCTGCCTGAAACCAAGCCTAGACGTGACAAAAGCCTCAAATCAAAATTTGCGTAATGAGCTTTCAGAGGCCTTTTATTCGTCACATTAATATTTACTATACTTGTTATGGGCCAAGCCCAGAACCAGGAGTCCAACTAATCCAGCACTTTGACCTGGACCATCTCTCCTGGCCTCCGGTCCTCACAGCCAAGGGCACATTCACTCACCTCGGCAGAGAGATTTCCGTCCCGTTCAGACAGCCCCCAGGGTTGGCTGGGAAGCCCACCCCCCTGCACGCAGCCTCGCACTGAAACAAATCACCTCTCACCACTGTCCCTCCTATAAGCTGTGGTCCCATAAGCACAGTAAAATTTTAACTTCATCTTCAAATGCTTATAACTTGAGAGAGATTGTGAGCTCGCTCAGCAAATGTTTGTCGAGTGACGGAAAGATCCCAGAGAGGCAGAGGTAAAGGGTGCAGAAATGAAAACTCAGAGAGTCGTTCGTGTCCAGGCCCTGACGTGGGCTGTGTCACCCTGGACATGTCCCTCTGCCTCTTCGAGTCTTGGTTTCCTCCTCAATAAAGGAAGGAAGAATCTACCTGAATATCTCAGCCTCTGCTGTTCAAGGAATGAAATGCAGATCTATAAATCCACAGAGCAGGGCTCTTCTGCTTCAGGATGGAGGGGGGCAACATGTGGGGTCCCCCCACAAGCCCTGGCCCCGCCTCCACTAACCTCCAAAATCAGGAGCAATGGTTGAGAAGCCCGGGGACAGGAGGCTCCCTAGTGAGGACCACTGGCCTGGGAGTCAGAAAATGGCCAGAAGCTGCCTTCAGCCCACACTCTCTGTCCTCAGGCACCGCCCTTCCTCCCTGGGCCTCGGTTTCATCCAGTGTAAAGAGTGAGGGGCAAGGATGGCGGTTCAGGGAGGATGCTGAAGGGGGTGGGCAGGAGACTGCATCCCTGAGATACAGGCAGCTTGAAGCATCTCATACTGGCCTACTCCCCAGAGCAGCTTCCTGTTCTGTTTTTCACACTGCCTGTCATCCGTCCATCATATTTGCCAGATGAAGATGAACATATTGGTGGGCGGATGGGAATGGGTTCTGGCAGGGAGCACAGGTAGGAGTGGAGCGGTCATCCATCGCCCTGAGCGCAAAATGAAAAGATCCCTCTCTGCAAGGCTCGCTCTGGAAAAGGAGCGTCACTCCCCTCCCCACGGGGTGGGGTGAGGCGAGCCGGCTCAGGAGCCATGAGGCTGTACACCTGCCACCTCCGCCACCCACTGCAGCCCTTTCCTGGTGCTCAGAGGGTAAAATAATAATAGGATAATAGGTCAGCTGGCTGAAACCTGGCGTTAAATGTGAGCCAGCTGGCTCTGCGCGCTCTTAAAGGGCCCTTCACGGGGTAGGGAGGGCAGACCTTTAGAGAAGAGCAATGGGGTACTGGCCGCACCCCACAGTGTGACTCATCAGAAGGCGGCTACTACAAGCCTCAGCGCCCCCTGTAAAACGAGGACACTCACCACCCTCCCAGGTTGCAGGGTGGTCAGAAGGGAAGGAAACATACACGGGGCTCAGAGATCTGGGGGAGAATCTGCGCCCACCACCCACCAGCAGGGGGATTCTGGCAACTGGCTTAGCCTCTCTGAACTCCAGGCTCCTCCGTCCTGTTTGTTTCATTGAGGAGAAAGGAAATGTCTGGCTACCAAAAGCACAGTAGAAAAATATAATTTGATGTAAGCCTTTTGAACAGCATGAAGCTGGAAAGATGGCTGCAGGCCTTTGGGCTTTGAAACCCCCGTGGGGCAGCCCCGTTTATATCTCCAATTCCCCCACAGGCCCTCTCTCCAGCTCCCACGGCCATGGCCTCCACCCCGGCACCACTGGAGGACACATCTTCACGCCCCCAGTTCTGCAAGTGGCCATGTGAGTGCCCGCCGTCCCCACCCCGCTGCCCGCTGGGGGTCAGCCTCATCACAGATGGCTGTGAATGCTGTAAGATGTGCGCTCAGCAGCTGGGGGACAACTGTACGGAGGCTGCCGTCTGTGACCCCCACCGTGGCCTTTACTGCGACTACAGTGGGGACCGCCCGAGGTACGCAGTAGGAGTGTGTGCACGTAAGTGAGATCCCCCCCTCCACCTTCTGGCCAGCCCCCAGCACCCCCAGGTCTGGCTCAGGGCCCCTGCCCATAGCCCTTTCTCTGGCCAGGCTCCAGTTTTGTGGGCAGTACCCCCCACCCCAACCCCAGTCCATGATTAGAGGCCAGAGGCTGGGCCCTTCCTGAGCAAGGACGGATGCTACATTTCTCATGTGTCCAGAACCTGGCTTTCTTTCTCTTCTCCATCCTGGAGGCACCTCCATGGCTGACTCTAAGGAAGACGGAGTCATCAGGAAAGACCAAAGCCTGATTTTGTCCTCTTAGTGGTAGGACATTTTGTGGGATGCCCATGACCTCCCAGGGGGCACTAGGACCCTGCAGAATTCCAGATATTTCAGTAATATTTTAAATTAAAATAATATGGTTTTAAAACATATAGTAGCCTTGGCAGAATAAAAACCAGCAGCCTGCAACCATCCCTTCCTACCACCCACCCCTCTTCCTCCAGTTACTACAGTCACTTTAAAGTTTTTAGTCCTTCCTTCTGGTAGTTGCGACTATTCAATATATGCATGTCTTCTGCTATATCTTGACTGGCTTAATTGTGGATAATCTATTAATAGTCCTATGTGATAGCTGATAACTTAACTCCATCTTCCAATACCATTGTCAATTTTTGGTTATAAAACACTATCTAACCACTGTTTACAGTATTACGACTTTGTAAATGTTTTTCGCCACAGCATGAGACAGTGTATTTGTTTGAATTTCCTTTATGATGAAGCCTTTTGTTTTTCCTGGGGTTTCTAGTTGCCTTTGTTTTTCTTTACTCTCGATCTTTATAACAGCCTCATGTTGGGGGAGAGGCTGTTGTTGTTGTTGTTGTTTGCCCTTCAAGGGCTCTATCATGTCCTTTTTTGTTCCCAGAGCCTCCTTTCTGGGACTTTCTGGTCTCCTGAGTCAGAACTGGCATTCACTTAGCTTGAATCATCCAAGCATTTGTTCCAGATACATGATCTGGCATGATAAAGAGAGGTAACTAGGCATCATGACGCAGAAGCCTAACTTCTGAAAAGTTACAAAAAGCCTCATAAACCCAAGAACTCCTTTCTTCTTTCAATGCTGAATCAGGTTTTCCCCATAACTATGACTCTAATACAATCCATTACATATTCCCACACAGCAGAGTCTCTCAAAGCCAGCTAACCCATTATATTTCCTGAAATGGGTTGTTGATGAGGGTTATGTCCATAATTCCAAGTCAGACAATCATTGTTTACCTATGAGCCCTTTCTGCTCTTTTGACATTAGTTCATCCTTCAATTTTGATACCAAGTCATCTGTCTTTAGTTTTCCAAGTAACCGTCATTGATTCTCCCACCTTTCCATTTTTCCCCTCTTTTACTCAGACTCATCAGTAGCCTCACAAAACAGTGTTCAAAGAGAACTTGCAACACCATCCGCAAAGACTCATCTGATGTGTTGGTTAAAAATGTGTTTCCTGAGCCCTACCCCAGACTTACTGATTCAAATTCTCTGGAAGTGGGGATGAGACTCTACATCTTTAACAAGCTCCTTTGGTGATTCTCATGCCCACGTTTGAGCTGATTGCTAATAGATACATCATCCATTGACTCTCCCTTATCCAGGAAAGGAAACCAGGCTGAGCCTTTCTGCACTAGAATCCCCTCCAGTTCTATGAGACTGTCTCATCATCTCTTTCCCCTTTTACAGCTGTTCTTCGAGGTCTTTAAAAAGGTAATTCACTGTAATTTTACTAACCTCTAAAGCTGCATTTATATCTCACCATATGCCTGCCGCCATGCCTTTGTAGACATTCTCTCACAGGCCCAGAGACCATGCAGCCCCTGGAACTACCTCTCCTGCCTGCCTTTACCTCCAGGGGCCTGGACAATCCCAACCCACCCCACCCCCACCTCCACTCACCACAGCCTCCCAGCTCCTCCGCGTCGTGGGTCTCATGTATTTCCTTTCCTGGCCTTTGGAAAGAAAACTATGGTCTTCGAGGGATTTTAATAAGTCTTACACTTGCCAAGGGTCCTCTGGTCATACAGGTTTGCAGACATTGGAATAAATAAAGTTACACAGGTGTTACAGAACTTTTCAGAGGTTTTGTCAAATTCCAAAGGGGAGCCATCGTAGAAAGGCTTTTCTTTCCAAACTTATTTGCACAGTGAACTCTTGTCCAGGCAGATTTTTACCCAATCACCCCCCTCCACCATACACACATACACACACACACAGTCAGATATACACACAGCATGCATACATGTGTAGGTACACACAAACACACACAAATTCACTAGTGTTCTACTGAACATCTTCCCAGAAATGCTGCCATTGTGTCTGAATTCGTGGGACCTTAATGCAAGAAAGAGGGGAATCCAGGATCTGAAGTCTATAGAGAAGAAGGTGCTTCAGGGCCAGAGGAGAAAGAGGAATAAAAATTCCTCTACATAAATAATCTTTCAGCAAATGGCCAACAACCAATAGACACTCCCCAGGACAGGGTAAATCTGTCCTTAGAGGTGTGTATGCAACTAGGCCAGGACAAGGTAGTAAAAATGAGCAATTGCACCAGTAACTCAAAGAAAAGATGGTGGGGACCATGGGAAACTAATGAATGCAAGCTTCGGCTATCGGAGGTCAACCCTCCTGGGCTCCAGCCACTGTGGCAGAAAAGTGAGCTCGGTCTGGTCCAGTTCACTCCGTTTTCAAGAGAATCCAGGAATCCAGACTTGTGTATGATTTGGCAACATTGGCAACACATTCAAAAAAATTTTTTAAAACATTCCACGGGCCAAAATAAATACATCTGTGGGCAGAGGGTGACCTCTGAATGTTTGGCTATTTCGGCTGTACAAACACGACTCTGCATTCGGTGCAGCTGGGTCAGGCTGGAGGGCGGTGTGGTTTGCTGGAAAGATCATGAAACTTACAGGCGGAAAGACTGGGGCTTTGACTCCTGGCCCTGCCACTTGCTGGCTACGTGACCTTGGACACGTCACTTAAGGAGCTCACCTGGCGGTTGAGGATAAACCAAGGATTCCGTTAGAGCCCGAAATGTGATTGCCTGCTCTTGGTTATTGTCTCATGTGCCTCAACTTTTCTTCATAGAAGTCACTTTAGCCCCATTCGTGGTCACCCTCAGAGTCAGGGGGCAAGTTGGGTTCCAAGCTCGGACTCCCCAGTCTGAAGAGTGAGGGAGCAGAAAACTCACCCATGGTGTTTGGAGCTAGACAACCTAAGTTCAAACCTCAGTGCCATAATTAACTAGTACTTTGGTTTTAGGAAAGCTGCTTAACCTAAGTGTCAGCTTCCTCATCAAGGAAAATGCAGCAAATAATGCCTGCCTCTTTGAGTGGCTGGGAAGCCGCACGCTAGACACATGGTAGAAACCCAGTACAGAGTAGGGCTCAGCCCACCTGACATCCATCCATCCATCCATCCATCCATCCATCCATCCATCGGTTCATTCACATGGTGAATGGAGGTTAGTGATAATCCAACAATGCGGTTACAACAAGACATGGCCCACGTCCCTGCTCCCAGGCAGCGGACAGTCCACCAGGGGTTGGTGAGAGGAGGGAAAGTCCAGGTGGCACAGCAAGGTGACCTGAGCTCCTGGAAGTCCTTCAGTAAGAGGAAAGCTCTCCAGGTCATGCCTGGACTCGCAAGTCTGAGATTAGATAGGAGATGGTGAAGGGAACGTGGCCGGCTTCACCTTCTAGCCTGGAGCCGGTCTTTCAACTAGTTAGAAAGTGAATAAGGAAGGGGCCCCAGAGTCCACCGATGCATAGCGTCCCTCCCTTGCCCCACCCCCAAAGCTCCCAGGAGAGCAGGAGCAACTCTAGATGCAGTGGTTCCCATCCTGGCTGCGAACTGGATTCACTTGGGGAGCTACCAAGGCAAATAAAAAACAACCCCAAAGCCCAGGTCCGCTTCCATATACTGGGGCATGGCGTGCGCATCAGAATTTTCAAGAGCTCCCCTGGGGGCTGCCGTCCTGCAGCTGGCGATGAGAACCACTGTGCTAAGCACTCCCGGGCACCCAGCACTGCCTTCTGCATCCAATGTCCACCCACACAGGGGCAGAGATGTGGGCTTTATTTAGCACACTCCCTTCTCCCCCACCACCCTGCCGCCAACACACCCTGGCACAGGCACGCACACACTCCCTGGAGAGCCAGAGAGTGCCATCAGGGGTGACGCAGAAGGCAGGGACTGGTGATTCACCCCATGCTTCCTCTGCTTTGTTTTGCTCTGTTTTCCTATTTCCACTCCTTTACTGGTGCCTGGTGGAAGGAAATGGATAGTGGAGTCAGAGCCCCTGGGCTTGGGGCACAGCTCCATCCTTCACCGGCTGGGTGGCCTTAAGCTGATGAATCACTGTTCCTCCTGGCCTGCCAAAGGAAGACAACAACACTCTCCTGGTGGAGCCACCGGGAGCACTGTGTGAGAGAACGGATCAGACGGTGCCTGGCCCGAGATCAGATGGGCAGTGAGCGTTAGTGCCTTTCCTTCCTGCAATTCCTCCGGCACAGTCACCTCTCAGGAAACCCAGCAGTCACTCGGACATTCCCACAGGCTGTGATCCTGCCCCTGCTGCTCCGCTGAGTCTCGCTCTGCTGCCTTGGGCACGTGCCTTAACCTCGCTGAGACTCGGTTTTGCCGCACATAAAAATGGAGGTGATGACACGGTAGATTTTCCTTATGGGATCAAGTCAGCAGTGCACGGAAGCCTAACACAAAGCAGGTCAGGCAACCGAGAATCTTCACTCCTGTTGGATATAGGGGTTATTATCCTTATTAATAAGCCACCTTCAGGTGACTCCAGGAGAGGAGCTGGAACTACTGGCAGATTGCAGATGCCAAACTAGCCCTCCTTGGGGGCACGCCCTTGCTGCGCTGGGCTCTCTGCCTTCGCTTCCACTTCTCCTAGGGCCGGACTTTGCATCAAGGGTGGGGATGCTGACCGGGGCCCAGCAGCCCCACATCCCTCCTGGAACTTGCAGAACCAGCTCCACCCCGCCACTCTGATGTCAACCAGGCATCTCATGTCTAGTGAAGAACTTGAGCCACCCCACCCCACCCCAACCCTGCTCCTCTGAGGACAGAGCATCACTCTCCTGCCAGGGTTCAGGACCGGGAACTAGGAGTCACTCTTGACTCCTCCCCTGTCATCCTGGCATCCCATCTGTCAGCGAGCCCTTTCTCTTCAAGACTGTCTGTCCCTCTCTGGTCCAAGCACCACCATCTCTTACTTGGATTACTGCTGTGTCCTCACTTGGTCAATCTATTCTCAGCTCAGCACCATGAGTGATTTCGTGAAGCATAATGCGTATCCTTGATTCAATAGTTACTGAGCACCTACATGTCAGCTTCAATTCTAGGCACCAAGAACTCTGCATTTTCCTCTAAGCTGCAGGAAAGCTGTCTCTCACCGCATCTCCTGCCTCCTGCCTTCTCTCTCTCTCCCCTGCCCTCTCCCACATCCCAGGCTGCTCCCACCTCAAACCTTTACACCTGCAGCCCCCTCCCTGCCTGGAAGGCTCCTCCCCCAACACCTGGGTGGCCTACCTCCTCACCTCTTTCCCATCTTTGCCAAAGCATCATCACCTCAGCGAGGCCTTGCCTGCCCACCGATTTAAATCTGCGACCCCTCCACCTCCCCACCCCCAACTCCCTCCAGCTTTACTTTGCTCCCTAGCACTTGCCCCTATCAACACGTATGTTGATCTTCTAGAAAGAAGATCTTTTGTCTTTCTTCTGTCACCCCCACTACAACGTAAGCCCTATGAGGCCAATGTAAGCCCTATGAGGCCAAGACAGTCACAGCTAACCCCCCCTCCCCACCTAGAACACTCCATAGATCTGCACTGGATGAATGAAGTCTTTGTTCCAAAGTGTTGCCGTTGGTTTTACATCATATCTGGCCCTTCTCAGAACCATGATCTAAAAGCAGACAATTATCAGGACTTGGCTTTGTGCCACTTAGTGGGGATAGGACAAGGGGCTCGCCATGAGTCCTGTTGACTGAAAAAAAAAAAGCACAGCCTAAAAGTTAAGAATTATGTTTCATTCAGTGGAATTTCTGAGGACTTCAAGCCAAGGAGGCAGCCCCTCACATCACTCCGAGGGGCTGCTCCGAAGAGGTAAGGGAGGCGCCAGGATGTAGAGGAGATTTTGCAGTAAAGACTGGGTATTTGGAACATCAAAATATAACTGGGAATTAAAGAACACAGACATCTCAAGTTAATGAATTAAGTGCTTTTCTATGTGTGGGGAGGTGCAAAGGTCTGCGCTCCCTGAAAACATGCCTTTGACATGCACTTCGGCTATCTAGGGCCAGTATCCTGTTCTTTCCCATCCTGAGTCCCCTCGGGGCACTACTGGGGGCAGCTGAAGTGGCTGAGGGCCTGGCAGCCATCCCGACTTCCCCCCAGCGCACATCAGGGGCAGCGGCAGTGGCCAGTGGCTTCACGGCAGTAGCATCCTTTGTTCGCTGGTAACAGCCATCAACATCTTTCGTTCACGGCCCTTATCCCAGGCATGCGATTGCCTCTCACTCCAAGGCCAGCCCTCCAGTCCGGCACCGGGTGGTACGCCAGGGTGGCGACTGAAGCTGTACAGGAACTGGCCCTCCGTCTGCTCAAGTCCCACCCAGTTCCGCGCCGCGCCGCGCTTCACACTGCTCTGCCTTTGCCCCCGGCC